TTGCCAGTACGTGTGTTCACGTATCTAAGTCTGGTCTCATGTGTACAACTTCCTCTTTTATTTTGATAGTCCTCTGTCTGTTGCTTGAGTCTTCCTGACCCCAATGGAATTAGCATAACCTACGATCCTTTAAAAAAACTGGTAGTAAAAGCAGCCCAAGCACAGAAGCTGTGGGCACTCTTTGTACATTAGTAAGCAAGTTGAAGCTGAGCTTCTATTTAGTGTAAACATGTCCTACATTAAGTTACCTCAACTTCTTGTTACCACGATACAATTTACAACACTTAGTGAAAATATGCAGATCTACAGTTAGCAGGTCTTTATTTTCTAATTCATGATTTCTCCTTGTTTTGCTTAGCGGGGACAACATACATCTTTGGCAAAGGCGGGGGCCTCATTACATTCAATTGGCCAGCCAATGAGAGACCAAGCACCAGGACGGACAGGCTGACTGTCGGCTTCAGCACCTCCCTGAAAGATGGCATCTTAGTCAGAATTGACAGTGCACCAGGTCTAGGGGACTATCTCATGCTGCATATAGTAAGTTCAACTCATTGTCCTTGAATAATTTGTGATTTTTTTGTCCTTTTATTGAGTTTTTGGTTACTTTTTTACAGTAAAGTAGATTCAGTTTTATCCCCAGCATGCTCCACAGGCTTCAGCTGTCACAATGTGTGGATTTTAGAGAGAAGGACACAGGAGTATATATACAAGAACTCATTACTTGTGAAAAAGAGACACACTAAATATTTAAACTGATAGAAATTAACATCACTGAGCCCTGCTCTCAAAAACTGACATAGATGTAAGACTGTCTGTGAAGCTGGAATCCCATCAGCAGTATGTCAGCAGGGAAAATAGGTCAATGTGTGCAATGGTCCAAAAACATAAGCCAAAAAAAAGAGAAGGCTCAGAGGAAGAGATGGCGCACTTTCCCCTCACGTCATCTCACTGACTGGATTACTTCTTATTACAATTTAAGAAATGCGAAGCCCGACTGTAACGTGGAGACTTTCCCCTGCAGACATGTTGATGGATGTTAGGATTTCCAGTCGTCTTTGGTAAGACGCAGCTTTGGTGTGATATGCATGTAGCAACCTGTTAGTACTGTTTGTCTCAAACAGGCTCTCCTCCACACAGTCCTCATTCATAAAGTGCTTTACAAACCCAAATGTTACAGCTAACAGGCGGATGTTACCGTTGGAGTGCAGCTAGCCAAACAGTCAGCTTTTGAGAGCAGGGCTCCGTGATGTAAATGAGCCTTTATATGTGGAGTGTTTCACGTCCTGTTTAATAACTCTTTACTCTCATTTCAGCAACAAGGCAAAATTGGAGTGACCTTCAACATCGGCACAGTGGATATCAGTGTGCAGGAAAGCAGCACCCCAGTGAATGATGGGAAGTATCACGTTGTCCGTTTCACCAGAAATGGTGGCAATGCTACACTGCAGGTGGATAACTGGTCGATCAATGAACATTTCCCACCAGGTACAGTATTAATCAGTCAGCTGTTAAAGTAAAACAACTGGTATTAACTGGTAATAATGATGCAGTGGGGTTGTGTCATTATGATACGAGATCACTGGGCAGCATGTGCTTCAGTAACATAAGATTTTAATTTCTAGCATAAAACAGGTGTCTTATGGATTACTATGTAACTCTGTAGACTTTGGATGGACATGTTAGACGTGTTATCCTAAAACTAAAGACAAAAAGAATGATGTTCCAAGCCTCCATCAGGATTTCTGACGATTGCTGTATTAGTGCTGAAGTTCAGTTTACAAAAACCTTGAGTTCTCCTTTCATTTGTAACCCTTTTATATGGATGAAGAGCAGAACTTTGTTGGCAGTAGTGTTTTTATTCCTGTGTTTGCTCCAACTGTCTGAGATAACTTGATATCCCAGTCACATCCTTAACAGAAGTTGCACTTTGAAAAAGCACAGATTGGCAAATGATGATTGTTGTGATTCGTGCAGCCTGTCAAAACCCAGCACACACCCACATACCGTGGGGTGGTATAATGGAACTATGGTGACTTTATCATACTGACACTATGAGGATCAAGGGTATCTATAAGTGTTTGTGGAAATACTGAGAGGAGGGAGAAAGCTGTAAGAGTCAACATAAAGTCTTCTGACTTCTTGGCATCTACAGGTTTACCAGTGACCTGTTATGGATAGATTGAGGATGTTCTAGTTTCTGAAACTGTGCTTGTTTAGGATGTGGCAGAAACGCAACCTAACATTAACTGTACACCTATGTGGCTCACTAGTGACCTGGTGGAAGTTAAGGAAGTCTGTCAGCTGAAGTGTTTTCAGTGTCTCTTCTATCCTGTAGTCAAAGTAGTTTGAACAGTAAGGATGGTATATTATCAGTTGTGTTTTGAAAATCTGATACTTATTGAATCAATAAATAGTCTTTGCATGAACCACATATCCCAGAGATATGAGGTAAATTCCATCTATGTCCATACAGAATCTCACAGCTGAAAAGACTGAAATTTAAATAATGACATAATCAAAAAACATTTGCCCTCATCCCCTGGGTGTTGGTATTTGTTCCTCTAGCTTGGTCCTCTGAGAGTTTGAGGTCCTGCTGTATCTTAGCTGTTCCTCTGATGTGCCTGCAATCTGCTGGAGCCACTCTTCCAGTTACAGCAGGGGTGTCAAACTCAAATACACAGTGGGCCAAAATACAAAACTGGAACAAAGTTGCGGGCTAACATTAATATTTATTGAAAAAAAAATCTTCCTCTAGATATAAGAATGAATCTTTTCTTATGGACTCAAATAGGTTTTGCTGAAAAACTGAATATGGAACAAGCAAAGCTTAATACTAAACAATATATATATTAGCTGTATAATACCAGTAGGCCAGCTCTGATAGTAATTTGGTATGGCTTCGGGCCAGAGTTTGACACCTATGAGTTACGGGGTCACAACTCCTACTGGTCCTATTACCACTTGGCCATTTTAGACTTTACCTTCCATATTTGCTCCAGTTATTCAGGCCCTGGTACTTATGTATTTTTTGTACTCCTTCTTCCTGAAGTTACTATCCACTGGGATTTCCACATCACAGCTGTGGTATACCTTCTGTAGTTGAGGTCAGTCTGTAACTTCCTGTCAACTGTGGCAGACTTCAGCTGGAGTCTCAGTACCTGGCTACCTTCTGGAGATATGTCCGGTATATCTGCCTTTCTGACACACATGATTAGGTTAGGGCTATCAGTGATGAGAACATCACAGGGTTAACCTAAATGAAATGAAAACACACAGCTAGAAAAGCTAGAAAGTTCTGGGTTTGAATCTTAGTGGTGCCTGGCTCATGTCATTGCTCTGGTTTCTTCCCACAGTCAGAAGGTTAGGTTAGCCCTGGAGCACAGTTTCACTAAATGAACACATGTAAAAGCATACAGTTATGTTTAGGGTCATCATTTGACTTCACAGGGTTAACTGGTGATAAGTGGTGGTAAGGTGGAAACAGATATAGATATAAAACAGAGCTTTCGTGTAGAGCTTTGAACATCAGATTTAAAACGTGTTATAGAAATGGTTAATTGTGTGTAACCATGTTTGGACCTCGTTTAATTCTGTGAGGTCTAAGTCACATAGGTTTGTCAGCTGGGGTTGTCACTGGATGATGACTGTTTTTGTGTGACATTATATTAAAATACAAAATTGTCACTAGAGGCTTTACCCCAGAAACTACAGACAAATTAAATCCAGACTCTAGAGCGCGTCTGGCTGCAGGGCTTGTGCAGACTGCAGAACCATTTCCATCACGTTCATGTCCAAGACAAAATCCCTTAAGTCAAATAGAATCCACTCTGGCACCCTCCTCTACTAGCCTGCGCCATCATTTGCTTCAGTGCTCTCGATCATTGATTCAGTTTCCCATGGGTAACCAGCACCCTGGAGTCTTGGTAACAGTGTGTTTGAGGCAAGTGTAACGGACAAATTGTTCTGCTGTACTGGCCAACAACATTTCTGCCTCCAGGAAGGGTCTTTGAGTATAATGTTTTGTGATTCAGTGTGGCACTCTTTGTTAGAAAGCTTTCAAGTACTGAACTATTTGGCAGCGCTTCTTGGCACTTGCCCTGGATGGATACATGATGTACACAAGCCTTCCACAGTCTTTTCACAGGGCTGCAGTAGTGGAGCAGTGAGGTGTTCAGAGAATGGTGCAGAGCTGAGGGATGGGCCTTCAGTTTGTCCTGTGAACCTGTGCCTGCTCCTATAAACTCATCTCTTCAAACTGTAATATTTTCAACATTTTTAGATTTTTTTTTATTCTATTAGATATAAGAATATGATTTATGTAAGACAGTTTATATGAAGCGTAACATCTTCTAATCTATAAAACTCTGCTGGAGGGTAATCTATGTGTAACCAGTGTCTGCAATGTTTCTCTGAGCTTATCAGGAGACCTATTCGGTCATTTGTCCTCTTGAGGAACATTTCATGCTTGATCCATAGGGCTCACTATTTGAAGCTATAACAGTTTCAGCTCTTCTGGAAAGGCTCTTCGCAAAATTTAGAAGTGTATTGATGGGAATTCTTCACCCTTCGTCTAGAAACACATTTGTGGGATCAGATACTGATGTTGGAGGAGAAGGCCTGCTTCACAGTCTCTGCTGTTTGTGATGATGCTCTTATCACAAAGGTGTTCTGTTGGGTTGATGCCAAGACTCAAATTCTTCCACACCAGACTTCAGACACCAGCTCTTCCATGTCTTTATGCTTTGTGCACTAGTGTCTGACAGTACAGTCTTTTCCAGTGTCTTTGAATAAATCTTATTTTTTTCTTCAGTACCGGTACTGGTTTTATTTTGTTGTGTTTATCCGCGACATCTTAAAGGCCGGTCCATAAAAATATTGTCGGACATAAACCGGTCCATGGCGCAAAAAAGGTTGGGGGCCGCTGATGTATGGCTGACACTGTTTTTGAGCTAATCTGGAGGCTACATGAAGTTTGGTCGTCTGTATCGACTGACTCTGCGACCTCTGTGCGCTATGCCCCTCTGCTGTCTCCCCTCTCCAGTTTTACGTGAACTACCACTTTGTGACTGAGTTGCTATCATTCCCAATTGCTTCCATTTTGCCACATCACTAACAGTTCACTGTGGAATATTTAGTACTGAGAATATTTCACGTCTGGCCTTGTTGCAAAGGTGGTACCCTATCACAGCGGTCTCCAACCTTTTTTGCACCACGGACCAGTTTATGCCCGACAATATTTTCACGGACCGGCCTTTAAGGTGTCGCGGATAAATACAACAAAATAAAACTAGTACCGGTACCGAAAAAAGAAGATTTATTCATAACACACGTGAAAAGACCCAGGAAAACCGAGTAAATGATAAAAACGATAACAAAATAACGCTGAAAACCAATAAAAACCCTGAAAACTATACATTTCACACCTGAGCCTCAACTCTCGCGGCCCGGTACCAAACGACTCACAGACCGCTACCGGTCCGAGGCCCGGGGGTTGGGGACCGCTGCCCTATCACATTACCATGCTAGAATTCACTGAGTTCTTAAAAGTTACCAAGTTTTTCACTAATATTTGTAGACGAAGTCTGCAAGTGCTTGATTTTATACACCTGTGGCCATAGAAGCGATTGTAATAAATTCAATGATTTAGATGGGCGAGTGAATACTTCTGCATGTCAAAGGGAAAGCCAGGCATCTGTACCAGTAAACCTATTGTTGCTGGTTGTGTCTTCTTTCTCTTTCTTTCAGTCTCAAGACAGAGTTCATGGCCATAAGTGAAAGTAGACACAGAGCAATAGCTTTGCTTAACAGAAGCTGTACCAATCCATCTGTCCATGATCCACGTTGTTCTTCCCCCGATCATGGATAAGACCCATGATTTGATGTCATCCTCCAGAATCTAATTCCCACCCCACAGTGGGCAATTCACCCTTCACTTTTGATGATAGCTTGTTTGTAAATGAACAAGATAGATTTGACATCCTGCAAATCTTCCGTTAAGAGTCCTCATTTTAAACCGTTATTTACATAATCCTGTGTAGTTTTAAAATATGATGTCCATAATTACACATGCTGCCCAGCAGTGGTGCAATGGATCAAAAATCTCACTTTTCGGATCAGCAAAAAAAGAAATAAGACAAAAATGTAACATTTACTTATTGAAGTTTTTTTTGCGTTAAAACATTCAACTCAAGACTCATTCCATACAATTATTAAAAATATATAATAGGGCAGTACAGGGCTTTGTATCTACCACTCAATTCAATTCAATTTTATTTACAAAGCGTCAAATCACAACAACAGTCGCCTCAAGGCGCTTTATATTGTAAGGTAGACCCTACAATAATACACACCGCTCATTATATCGCTCTCCGCTCCGCTGTGATATAACGGTCACGTAGCTTTCCGTTGCCCTGGAGATCCACCCGTTTGTAGCAGTTAGAGCAACAGAAGATGCCTGGGACAGTTCAGCCATAACTTAAATCTTCTCCTGCTCATACACCTGGAACGATCTTGCCACTGAAGTGGACACGAACGGGATATCATCGCGTGGCTCAAGCACGTTCATCATAGTTTAAACCTTGTTTTGCACAACAGAATACGGCCTCCCGTCTGCAGCTAAACACCCCAGCAGCTTCTGTAATAGCTTTAGTTTTTTTTTCCAGAAAGATCCAACTTCACAGTTGTAACATGGCACCCTTTTGTGCTTTGGGTACTGGGTTACGTTTAGATAACAGGACTATTCATACCTGTACAAGAGGAAAACGTTTACAAATCCTAGTGAAAATGTACAGAAAGTGATGAAAAGATCGAAACGTTTTATTTTAAAAAGTCTTCTGGTATCACAGCCACAAATACATGTGGAGAAAGTTGGAATAAACACAAACATGCACATCAGCTACTGAAGTGGGAAGGCAGTTTGAGGATTTCTCTGTGTAAACATCATATGTGCTGTATATTTAATGAAGATTTGGGGCAAGCTAATATTGTCAGAGGAGAGCGTGATCATTTTAAGAGCTTTGAATGAGCTGTGCATAACCTAAGGGAACTCGTTTTCAATGATGACACACGGCTGTTGAGTGACGTAGTTTTTCAAAGCACAGAAATCAGTCCAACTAGTCTATGGTCCTTCAATAAATGTAGCCTTTTTAACCTTAGATCGTACACTTGACTGAGCCTGAAAATGTCAGTCAAGATAAACATAATCTGTTAGCAACCTGCCAGGTATGCCATCTGAACACTGACAGCCTCTTGATTGTTTAAATGGTAAATGGCCTGTTTAGCGCTTTACTCAGTCACTAAGGACCCCAAAGTGCTTTACACTACATTCACCCATTCACACACTGGTGATGGCAGCTACATTGTAGCCACAGCCACCCTGGGGCGCACTGACAGAAGCGAAGCTGCCGGACACTGGCGCCACCGGGCCCTCTGACCACCACCAGTAGGCAACATGGGGTTAGTATCTTGCCCAAGGATATTTGGCAGCAGCCAGGAGGCAGCCTGGGATCGAACCACCAACCTTCTGGTTAGTGGCTGACCTGCTCTGCCACCTGAGCTACAGCCATGAGACACTGCTTGCTGTCACCTGCAAGAAGCAGTGGAAGAGAAAGGGCAGCAGCACTAAGTCTTGTTCACATTTCCACACAGCTTGTTGCAATCTTAAATGTGCCTGAATTTGCATGGGCCTAAATAGTGTTGAGATAAAATCCCACTATAATGTTGCAATGACAAACCAGAGTACTGTCTGAGTATCAGTCATGACAACAGAGCAAACAGATACTGTACATGCTGTGTAACTATTACATAACAGCTATCAGGTTAATCTCAACTTGCTTGACTTGCAAAATAACTTGCCAGTTTTTCCCCATTTAGTCTTTTAATCTACAGATGACCATTTGTTGAATTTTAGTGATTGGTTGATTATTATCAATTTCTAATGTAATGTTTGGTCGTGTTACTTACTGTTGCTGTTGTAAGTGAAAGAAAAGGAGTAAGGCAAGTTGCTCTGGAGCAAGCCTGACTATTACATCCTTTGTAGGAAATTTTACCTGAGTTCTTCACGTCACAGGCTGTTAAAAGAAATCAAGCGAGTCTTGAAAGATCTCATTTTTAAGGTATGCGAAGATACATCCAGTAACAAAAAGTGATAATGGATGAATTTCATTGCATGAAAAGGTTACCCCTAAGAAATTACCTACCAGGTAGGCAAACCTGACTGGTAGGAGGGATTGTACAGTTTCATTAGAATATAATTTGGTATTTGGAACACAGGATTAGGCAAGTTTTTAAAGTCTTTGTGATGATTTCCATAGTAAGAAAACTAATCTTGCATTAAATGTGACATCAGTGCATATGTCACAACTCCAGTCCTCAAGAGCTACTGTCCTGCAGCTTTTAGATGCATCCCTACTCCAACGCAGCTGGATCAAATGGTTAGATTCCCTCTTTAGCATCCCATCAAGTTGGGCAAAGGCCTGATAACAATCATTTGATTCAGGTGTGTTGGAACAAGGATGCATCTAAAAGCTGCAGGACAGCAGTTCTCAAGGAGTGGAGTCGGAAACACTGCTCTACACAATGTGAAGAAGAAAAAAGTCAGGACACTATACAAAATGTTTGGTAACAGCCAAAGAGCCAAAGATGATGAGCCCTATGCATCCTCTAACCCAGCGGTCTCCAACCTTTTTTGCGCCACGGACCGGTTCATGCCCGACAATATGGACCGGCCTTTAAGGTGTCGCTGATAAATACAACAAAATAAAACTAGTACCGGTACCAAAAAAAGAAGATTTATTCATAACACACGTGAAAAGACCCAGGAAAACCGAGT